AGCACAAAAGCTGATAAGTTTTTCGTTGCTCTTGCAGGGCACTTCCACCGTCTTAAAATAGCAGTATCATCCGCATATGTTAATGTTTTTTTGTAAAATTGACTGTCGGAAAATCTGCTGTGTAAGTGATATACGATGTCAGAGAGAAACTCTTAGCATCGTACTGCAAAGCTTCTTTGCTGTAGGTATGAGGCCAGTGTTTTGTGGGTGTTCTGTGGAAATATAATTTTAATTTTATGAATTAGGCCGTCCAGCCAAACGCGGTCGATAGTCTGCGCGACATGGGATGGCATTATTGGCCACTTTTTAAATGTTCCCATTTGTCATGCTGAAATAAAAATTGCTTGTGTAGGCAAAATACCTGGATGAAGTAGTCGACTGAAAACATTTAAAAAACTGTATTTATTTAGTCGAATGCTTATTCATTTTTGATGTCATATATTTTATATGTTGAAGGTGCGCTCGTCACGACTTTTTTCCTCGTTAAGAAGTGTTTTTGGTTATATTTTAATAGTATACAAAAATTCAATACAAATAGTATAAAACCTATACCCAGAAGTATTTATTCCATACTAAATAATATAATGCCTATGCTCTAAAGTTTAAAATCTAAACTAAACTTAGCTAAGTTGCGGCTTTTGTCTCTCCTGTGAAACCAGGATAAAACCACATATAAGCGCTTTATCGTCGCGTTAGTGCCTTGATGCAGTCATTGTGTTGTTCTGCTGAAATTCGGACGTGCGATAAACCAATTTGTTTCCTATTTTGTTAGTTGTAAATAAAAAACGTATGTCAACGTTATAATAATGCTGTGAAAATAAAACAAAAACATAGTAATAAGAGTCTCAAACAAAAAGGTGCAGTGTACAAGCAATTTGCGTAATCGCAGATATGTATGTAAATGTTTGTATATGCTACGCCATCAGATGTACGTGTATTTATGTATCTATATACATATATGTGTCAACACGCGTTCATAATTACTTGTGACCATAAATCAGTGGTCGTATTCAGCAGAACAACATGATCACTGATCACTGATGGATTTCTTACGATAGTTCTGCTAAATGCGTACGATCACTGGTCATGGTGCAAAAATTCTTACATCTACATGATCATCATGATCAGCAAAAAAGGAGCATATAAATAGTGACACAGGATACATATCTGCTAGCATACATATATCGATGGTGTAAATATCAATACGAATAAACAGAAAAATCAGAATGTAAACAAAACAAAAATAAAAAACAAACAGAACAAACTGGACACTGATTCATCAGTGATGGATAATTGTAATAATTGTATAATTGTAATACAGAATATTTATAAAAATTATGGGGCCCTTTTTAATAAACATTTCACATTAGAATTACTTTCAGGTACCCTCTGGAAATGAAGTGATTCCTTTAAAAATAAGTTATTTCATCAATTAACTACCAAAATCACCCGCCGATTTCCCGCGGTTTTGCTTAACATTTCGAGAATCACGGTTTTAAGTATAAACGTAATTTGAAGGAGAGCTCTCCTGTCCTCTCAAGAGGCAGTTCTGAATATTTTATGAAGCCCACTGAAGCCCAAAAGTATGCTGCATCTTCACATACTCATAAAATACATACGCAAAAGATGTCATCATAAAGAATTTTAAATATTTAAAAAATAAATAATTGTAAGCAAACAAAAAAATTTTTTGTTGGTACAATTATTTTACTAATATTGGCAGCTAGTGCACCAAAAGATTCCATTTTTAAAAGTTAAATAAATCTTAAACCACTTAATATATTTTAATGGTTTAATTTTTTTTTTTTTTTAATTTGTTGTATATTATACTTTAATGTGTGTTAAAATGAATCGAATCCGTTTCCTAATTTTTTTTCTAGATATAAAATAAGCAAAAATTAGAAATATTTTCCGACTTTGGTTTGGATAAACTAAATATTTTTAAAATTCTTTAAAATTTTATTTTAAGTTGGTTGAAAAGATTAATCTCTTAAGAAGATGGTCTGCTTTATTTCAGCTTCCTAGCTTTACAGGAAAAGAAATGCCAGATTTCTAATATGTATATTATAAAATAAAAATTATATGTAGATAATAATAACTATATAGTATAAGTAGAAATAAATCTTTATATTATAATTTAAGTTCCACTTTAGAAAGTGTGATGTAAAATATATTCATTTATTTGTAAATATGTAAATAAAAATCGTGTTACAAATGTTTAAATTTACTATTTACCACGTGCTTAAGTAAAACGAAAGTTTTAACACAAGTTGTGAAATATGTAGCAATTTAAGTGACGCTGCTTCAAAGTATGTATGAAAAATGTACAATTTACATACTTTGTACATACGAGAATCTGTGTGTGCCTGTGAAGTTGTTGCAGGCATTTGTATGTCGTAATTTAATAAGAATTTAAGAAAACATAAATACCATACCAATAAGGTATGGAAACACGTATTGGTGTTACCATTATATTTATTAATACATATATGTTTAAGCTTGACAATAAGGAGTTACAAAGCGTGCGTGCAGCTTATTCGAGAGAGAGCGATTGAGAAGTGTTTCTTCCCAGCAAGCAAAGTTAGGAGCACTCTTAATTGTGTGTCTGAAAAGAGCCTCGTTTCAGACTGTTTTCTGAGTCGGCACATAAATAAGAGAGTTTTCGGAGCACATTTGGTGCTCTCTAAGCTTAGGCTCATAAAACGCTCTTATGTCCGAGTATATTCTGAACGATGGTAAGTAAAATCAAAGTAAAAATCGCGATTAAAATAACGGAATGCAGATTCTTGTGATAAGAAAGATGATTTAAAGTGCACAAAATTACTCAGTTAGTGCAATACGCAAGTGAAAGTCTGACGTGTTCAGTGAGTACAAAAAAAATGTGTGCAAACTTCATTTTAAATTTGATAAATTATAAATTATGAGTGTGCAAAGATCAAGTCGTAATGAATGTAAGAAAATATTAAGTGCCCTGAAGACCAGTAATCTACGTTGCTGTGAGTCTCTGCCACCGGAGCACGGCGAAGTGAATGAACCAACATTGGATTCAGGGCCTTATTTGGAGCAAAACCATATTAAAACGATGGATATTTAAGTGATGAAGGTAACCTTTCTGAAGACTCCGAAGAGCATGAGATCAAATCCCTGCGCGAGGAATTGTCAAACTGGGCAATTGCATTCAATATATCGTGCTCTGCTTTAAACGAGCTTCTGCACATCCTGCGCCGTGTTCCACCTGATTTGCCATGCGATTCCAGAACTTTAAAGAGAACACCTAAAGATGGTTATTGTGTCCCAATGGATGGCGGCGAGTATATACATTATGGAATCGCTAATTGCATGACAGATTTTTTTGAAAAATATACTTTTAAAGAAAAGACAATATTTATCAATATAAATATTGATGGCCTGCCACTATTTAAAAGCTCTAATATGCAGGCATGTCCGATATTAATAAATATTTATAAAACTTCCCCTGTATTGTTAGCTGCCATTTTTTATGGAGACAGCAAACCGAAAGATGTTAACGAATATCTTAATTTATTTATTTCTGAGCTTCGTTCTCTTATTTCCACTGGTTATTTGTATAAATCGAATCATTTTGATATAAAAGTTAGAGCCTTTATTTGCGACTCGTCTGCAAGAGTTTTTGTTCTTGGAATTAAAATTCTCAGCGCCTATTTTGGTTGCATCAAGTGCCATCACGCGGTGAGAACTTGGAAAGAAGAATAATATACAAACTTCAAGACAGTTTACCAAGAACAGATCAATTTAGAAATAGAGCACAGGTCGAGCATCACAATATTCTTTCTCCAATAAAAATTGAAGAGCTTCCATTAGATATAGTGCGTCAATTCCCATTTGATTATATGCATAGGAGTTATGAAAAGTATGCTGAAAGGATGGATTAAAATAAGAGGAAAGGATTACTCCCTATCAAGAGAAAAATTGATTATTTAAACAACAAGTTTATGTCCTTAAAGGCAGATATTTTTAAGGAGTTTGCCAGAAAACCGAGGAGTATTTTTGATATGGATAGATGGAAAGCCGTTGAATTTAGGCAATTCCTACTGTATAAAGGACCAGTAGTTTTGAGAGGAGTTTTAACAGAAAGCAGATATGAACACTTTATTCAACTTAGCGTTGCAATTAGAATTCTCCTAAGTAACAAATATTGCTTGACTAAAAATGTATGTGCTAAAGAAATAATTTGTAGTTTTATAAGTAAATTACCAGAGCTTTGTAATATGAAATATAGTTTTCATTGCCTGTCGCATTTGGCAGAAGAATGTGTACTTTACCAAGATAATCTACATTCCATTAGTGCTTTTAAATATGAAAGTTATTTATACAAAATAAAGCAAATGGTAAAAAAAGGATCTCAAGTTGCTACGCAAATATATAATCGCCTTGTTGAGCAAACCATAATACAATATCAATTGGAGAGAGCGCTACAAAAATTGTAAAAAGATGTCAAAAAGGAAACATTCTGTCAATAAGAAATAAATACATATGTATGTCCATAAATGCTCCTGACCATATTTACATTGTGGATTACAGAGTTTATAAAATTGATCGATTTTCTGAAGAAAATAATGAAGTGATTGGAAATCAAATGAAATTTTATTCAACGAATATCTGTTCACTTTGCCTTTTAGGCATAAAATATTCTTCTTCTTAACGACATACCGACAGTTCATAAAGTAACAGACGTTACCCAAAAGTCCATTGTTTTTAATATTTCGTCTACAGCTTGTATAGTTGTCATTCCCATCATACACAATGAATAACTTTACCGAGCAATTTTGAAACGGAAACGAAACGGAATCGACAACTTCGACAAATACAGTCGATATGTCCAACGTTTCCTACGCCAACGTTTCCTTAACTTCTAACTTTGAATATCCTTCTACCTCATATAAGTATAATTATAAAAAGTTATTTTCAAAGACTATAAAGTAAATTTGTATTTTTTCAGCTATGTTGCAATTAAGTTTCAACCAGATGCAAATATTGAATAAAAATGTAGAAGGTAGATAATAATTTTTTTGCAATTTACGAGCAACAGATCTTAAGGAAAGCTTAGTTAAATTGGAAGCTAAAACACAAAGATTCAAACTCGCCTACAAACGGAAGTGATAGCACAAAGAAAGCTTGTAAAAGGAAATAAGACTCGAATGCTGCTACTACCTAAGTCCTTTGATAAATTAGAAGACCTTAAATAATTTAAAGAGGACCTAAACGATTCAGCTGAATTGTGTGAACAACTGGTAAGACTAATTAAAATTGTGATTAAATTTTCAATAAAATAATACAATCTATTTTTATTTTGTAGGAGACAAAAATGATAAACTATAACATTTCCGATCCTGCTAAATTTCTGCGCACTATTTGGAAAAAAATGTTTACGGATGATGATGTTACCAAGTATTCGTGGGACCAACACCAAAATCTGTGTCCTAAGCTTGGCAATTACACCAGCAGTTAGAAGTAAATATTACATTTTAGAATTTTGACTTTAATCGATTTTAATATTTTTTATTGAATTCTTTATTTTATTACTCTTTTTTAGATTCTTTCAATAAAAAATTTGCTGTCGACGAGAAGCAATTCTCATTAATATGCAGCAAATGGTTCCAAACAGCCAATGACAGAATTAAATATTATAACAAAACAGACAAAAAAGTAAAACAAAATATATGCAAATTAAAGAATTAATGTTTAAGTTTCTACTATTTCATAATTTAAATTTAAAAATCAATGTTTAAGTTTCCTATATTTCATAATTCAAACATGTCACTGTGAGTTCGAGTTCGAAATAAGATTATCTATTTTATCATCTTAAGCATATGATTTTTTTTTAAATTTTTATTCCTAAGTATCTTGTTAATTTTTGAGTAAAATAAATATAAATTATAAAAAATGTAAAAATTAATATATTTCAATTCTTGTTCAAACGAAAAAGAGTCTGAGTCTTTTTCGTAGAAATTTAAGTGCCTAAAAATGGTACTTTTTTGTACCTTTTCTGAGGGTTTTCTATGCTTCCATCGGAGGGTGAAAGCACTTATTTCTGTGTCAGAAAAGAGTCAGATCGGACTCAGAAATCTGCCTCTTAAAGTGCGACCGTTTCAAAGAAAAAAACACTCTTTCCGGACACTTTTTTGCACACTTTATGACTGTAAATGCTCAGAAAAAAGCATCAGAAAACCGTCAGAAAACGCTCAAATGGCTTGCTGGGCTGTTGAGAAGTGCTTCGCTTATAAGTATGCAACCTTTTTAGCGCCAGCCAGCGAGAAAATAACGTTTTAAAAGTTTAAAGTTTAAAGTTTTGCTTACTTCTTTGACGCCATCTGTTGTGGGATTGCCAAAGACATAAGCCTAACAGATTATCGGTTACACAAACCATGGAAAAGCACAAAAAGATATTCTACTATCTACATTAAAACGCCCAATAAGTTTTAAAAACGAGTTTTAATTATTTATTTCGCCAATGGTATTCATTCCCTAGCTGGTTACTTATATATTAAACATAATTCTTACGCACTAATATTGAAAAAAGGATCAAAGTATGTTTGAGATCAGATTTGCTTGTAAAATAATTATATCGCATGTTAGTATGAAGTTTATTGCACTCACACAAGGCTCTATAAAGTGGCTCGTTTTGGGAGCAATTAGTTCTGGGTAACTCAACAATAAAGCGAGCAAAATCTCGAAGGTGCCTAGCAGGATCATTAAGGCCTACTTTTGAAAGAAGGTCTGGACAGTCAATGATTCCAGCCACCAGGTCGTCGATGAAACAGATAAAGATAATTATTCGGTGATTGGCAAGTGTGGGAGGGTGAACAAGGGGGCACTGCTGCTGAAAAGGAGGGAAATGTTCAGAAATTCTGAAGGGTAAGAGAGCGAATGTTAAAAAGTTTTTTTGTAGCCTTTCTATTCTATAAAATGGATATCGTCTGAGGGATTATAGATAAAAGCCGTATACTCTATTTTAGAGCGCACAAATGTTGAGTAGTGTAGCATATAACCTGAAACATGGTTGCCGGTTCTTGCAAGACGAGCTGATGGGCGGTGCATTCAAGGATAGTCGCTGGTTCCGGCTGTAGATCGGTAGAAGGTGGGGTTCTCTATGTATTCGATTTTATTCAGATGTTTATCCCGTTTCTTTATAAATGCATTAGATATTGGGAATAATAAATTTATCGAAGAGAATAAGAAATGAAATCAATACGAAATTTAAACAATATTCATGATTGAAATTAATAAAACAACAAATTATTTTATTGCTAATAATTAACATTTAATTATTTAGTTCTTCTTTTCATTTTATTAACAAATAATGTATGAATGTTTAAATTTCCATTTATAATTACATTTCTGAGTGTAGTCATAGTTATGTTAAAAGCACTGAACAATGATTGACAAACTGTGTGGGAGCTTGCAGTTATGACAGATGTTTATACCCTTGCAGAGGGTATTATAATTTCAGTCCGAAGTTTGCAAGGCAGTGAAGAGGACATTTCGGACCCTATAAAGTATACATATATATTCTTGATCAGCATCACTAGAAGAGTCGATCTAGCCATGTCCGTCCGTTGCTACGCAAACTGCATGAAGCTTTCCCAAAAGTTGTCTTTCTATTGCAGGTATTACATATGTCGGAACGAGCCGGATCGGACGACTATAACATATAGCACCCATAGGAACAATCGGAAATATAAATAAAACTGAGGACTACTTTGCGTAGAAACGGACGGACGGACAGACGGACATGGCTAGGTCGACTCTCCTAGTGATGCTGATCAAGAATATATATACTTTATAGGGTCGGAGATGTCTCCTTCAAAAAGTTGGCCTTGACGAGCGCACCGGTCCTGGTACATGCGGATATTAAGAAACATTTCGATAACCAGTGCGACGCTTCCCATTTGGGGGTCGGTGCGGTGTTGATTCAAAGAAACCAGGATGGGGAGGAGCAACCGATAGCGTTCTTCTCGGCCAAGATGAACCGGCACCAGGTGAACTACTCTGTCATGGAAAAGAAGTGCCTGGCGGGCATCTTAGCCATTCGTAAATTCAGGGCATACGTTGAAGGAATCCTGTTTACGTGCATAACCGATCACGCCAGTCTGACATGGTTAATGACGATGAAAGACTTTTTCGGACGTCTTGCGAGATGGTCCCTGCAGCTGCAAGGGTACAATTTTGATATCGAACACCGTAATGGCAGCCAAAACGTAGTTGCTGATACATTGTCTCGATGCGTTGAAGAACTCCGGATAGATCCGACGGAGTTGTTAGGTTTCGAGACGACCGAATTTGCTGCAGAGGAATATCTGAAATTAGTGCGTGATGTGGAAGCCAACATGGAACACCGAACCTGGACGATGAGCTCGAAGAATCCGAATGGAAGTTGTGGATTCCGCAGAGCCTCATCCACAGCCTGATTAAAGAAGCACATTCGGACATCACGGCAGCTCATGCTGGGATGGCGAAAACGCTGGAAATGCTGCGACGTTAGTTCTATTGGCCAGGGATGACTATCCAGGTGCATGCGTTCGTGCCAGATTGCGATATATGTAAGGAGTCGAAAGCACCAACATTTTGAGTGCAGGTCGTCATAGGTAAAAGGGTCGAGACGTAGAGGCCATTCCAGAAACTCTACATTGACTTTCTTGGAAAATATCCTAGGTCCAAACGTGGTCAAGCGTGGATTTTCATGAAGGTGGATCATTTTTCAAAATATACGTTCCTAAAGGATGCGTCCGCGTCGAACGTTGTGAACGAGGTGTTCAATAAGAATAACGGAAGACAGTTCACCTCTAAGTTTTTCGGAGAAATTATAGACAACTTCGGAATCAACAACATCAGGACGCCGGTACACTCACCCCAGAGTAATGCGGCGGAACAGGTGAATAGAAATGTTCTGGCCGCGATTCGCAGCTTCTTGGACGAGGATCATTGGGAGTGGGACGTGCATCTGACGGAGATTGAAGTGGCTATCCGAAATACTGGTTACTCAGCCACCGGAGAAGCTCCGTTCTTTATTGTATTTGGATACATATGTTCCTCAAGGGGGCGAGTTATAAACTGGCGAGGAAGCTAAGATCGCTGTGTGACCATGAAATGGCAGAGATGCAGGCTTCCGACAAACCCCGTGTAAATCCACGAAAAGGTCCAGAAGCACGACAAGTCACTACTTGCTAGGCCTGATCAGGAGGTGGTCAGGCGAAACTTTGCACTGAGCAACTTCAGCAAATCTCTCAACGCCAAACGTGAAGTCAGTTGGCAACAACGCGTACCTGTTGGAGGACTTGCAAAGACGCAATATCGGTTTACCACGCCATAGACATCCGTTTATTACCTGCAAGGAAAAGCAGACAAAGTATACGAGCGCAGGATATTAATAGTAATACTTCCCGGCAAGCGTGGGCCCCGCGCAAGGCGCTGTTGGAACTGCATCTCAATTTCAGTGCCGCCTTGATGTCAGTTACCGGGTCTCCAAAGCTACAAATTATTTCTATGTTCTGCTGCAGCTTCGGGTAGCGCCTCTCGAAATCTCTCGAGAAAAGTCATAGTCATTCTTTCTTTTAACAGAATTAAAGTATGCAGTTTATAATTCTAAAAATACTTGTTATAAACAGATTTTGTTAAATAGTGCCACCGAAGACCCTATATAGAGGGACACGGAAGTTTTGAGTACGTGCGGAACGTAATTATCTGGCGGTCCTAACCTCGTCGAACAGCCTGGTCGCCTGATACCACCTGGTCGTCGAGCAACAAGCTACCCACCGACGAACGCGGAGAAGCAAGCCAATCGCAGCAACAGTCCCACGATGAGTCCGCCCAACTAGCTCACTCCTGCGGCCACCGACACCGTGATGACGCACTACTTCCGATACACTTTCGGCAGTTGACGCACAGCATCCAGGCCATTTTCGCCATCGACGCACTGCCTCAGGGCTGTCTTCAACCACTGATGTCCTGCAGACGTTCTTATCCAGCAGGCACCTTTAGTGCTTCTGAAATTGTATAAATCAATTATTTCTTCTTAAAAGAACACAAATAATGTATTACAACTCACCAGCGGTATCACTGTACAGCTAGCCCGAAATGAAATCCCCTTTTTGCCGCATGTCCAACTAAATTTGATTTGGGTCGCAAAATTTAACTATAAGTGGAAATTGTTTAATTGTACTTGCCCTTGTGCACGTCCTTTCTATTCCCGTGGAGCTCCCCAGGATTAGTGACCCGGGTGACTTCGACATCCGAAATTGGTGCCGTAATCAGCGCTGGCCAATCTGGCCAATTATTTTTGTAAGCACACCTAAAGTTAAACACTTGCCAAAAGGTTACCGCTTTGAGCTCCGTAAAAATCAAACGGCGGTCTGAAATGGGTATTTGCAGGTTCTGATAAAGGGGAAATGCTTATTAATGTATTAAATGGGAATGAACCATTGTAACTTAACTTACCAGAATTAAATATAAGTAAGCAGACAAAATGTCCTTCAGGGCATAATTGGTTGGGCGGGTGTGCAATGGCTAGGATATCTAAAAGCCACCAACAAATATATTCCGCGCAATTAAACTTCGTTAATAGATTAGTGTTTGTTTACCTTTTTGCCCAGAGATGGTACCCTATTGTGTAGTGAGGCGACGATTTGTTATCGATGATTTATGTTGCGAGCTGTGGCATTGGGGGTACTCGTACTCTGACCCTGAGATGCCGATGAGCTAGCGGCACTGCCACCGAGGTAAATGCAGTTCGTAACAATATTAAAAAACCGAAGAACAGAGGTCTGTCCTCTGATCACAAAATAATTATGTATGTATTAAACTTGCTTACATTAATAATAATATAAAATCACTGTTAATTCCATTACCAATATTTTATAATCGAATTTGACTTGCATAAATTTCTGCTCATTCAAATAAGCATAAAATGCTAATTAAAAAAACATTAAATGGTTTGCATTAACGCATTTAACTAAATAACTCCGAAGAGCAAATTCTTAGAGAAAAATGTGTTATATATATAAAAGCTAAGTGGATTTGAAAATAAAAAGTAATCTATACTGGCGTTTTCTAAAAAATCGGTAAAATGTGAACACAAATACCAAATTATGGATAAAATGCCGTAATTGTTTTACTTGAAGAAAATATATTAAGGAAACGTAAATTCCACCTAAAAATAGATTTTTAAAGATATATAACACGTAACCGTAGCTTTAGTCGTTTAGAAGTTGTGTGCGAGTGAAATCTAGCTTTTTTATCCGTTTTCCCGCTAAACTAGCGGGTTTTCCAAAAAGTGGTAGGACAAAAGTTTTTCAGTTCGAGCATCGAATATCTTGTGGTGCCGTGGGATGCGTATTTAATGTCAGAATACAACGATGCCATATAAGTAGGACTTTTTGTTCAACCAGCCCCAACAGCTCCAGTATAAGACCAAACTTTTGTCTCACTTTCACCCCCATTTCCCCGAAACCAAATGATTTTCTAAAATACTTAGTATGCACAAAGTCTTATCAAACTGATACCTTTTGATTGCTATATCACTTATTAAAATCGGACTATTCCTAGCTGACTTCGAATATTGCGTCTATACATATATAGTAGTCTCCTTGCGCAGGCTTACCAGTGCTCATCGTCTACATATACTGCCGTCCATAGTGATAGGCATTAAAATCGGAATATTCTTGTTTACAAAAAATTTAAATTTTGGAAAAGCAGCAAGGGTATATAAACTTGAACTTGCCGAGGCAAATACTTTATTGTTTTATTCTAAATGTTCGAGCTGCATAATTGGGTTTTCTTACTAAGAAACTTTTTTCCGTGTAACAATATACTGCCTCTCTGCGCATGCTCTCTTCTCTGAGAGCACGTTTTTGCCGCTTACGTCTGACTTTTGGTTTTGGATTGAATTCGAAGTCGGATTCGGATTCGGATTCGTTTCGTGTTGTTTGCTTCCAAGCTGAACGAGGCGACGAGCGGCAATCAAAACGCTTTGAACTCTTGTGGTGAGCGGACGTGTTCTCGATTGGTCTACCGTTGGTGCCGCCGGCGTACTTACTTGTACTTGTTGTTAAGTGCGCGTCTTCGTACTCGTACCGCGCTATTGTATTGCTCACGTTTGTTTAGGTAATTGTAGTGAAACAAAGTCAAACGCTAACACACTCGCACAGTGTGGATACGGATTGTGTGACAGCCTTTGTATCTGTGTTATTTGTTTCTCCAACTACGTACGCTCGTCAAAATATTGGACTGCGTTTTGTAACAATGTACGGCGAAATTAATAACACAGAACAGTGGTGGATGGTGTTCGGTGGATGGATTCAATGGTGGAGGGGTTTTTGGGGGTCTCAACCACCGATTGTTTACAGTATATGTGTGGGTAGCCGAACGTAAATGCGAGTATGTGTATCTGTATCCGTACGATTTTGTATCTTTTTTTTTGTGTGTGCGATGTTTGTGCGGGATAAGCCAAGAGTTTGTTGAAACGTTGGGAGCTTTCTTCCAGACCAACTATGATTGGTACTGGGAGTGGAATTGGGATGTTCTTATTGGCGTCTTTCAGTGGCTGGGCGGTGAATGAACTCCAACTCCAACTTGAGAGAGTTGCCACTGCCAAAACGACGGAAAACGAAAAACGGAAATCGGAAAAACTCAGCGCATTAAGCACTAAAAACCCAAGCAAGCACAACTTAACACAAACCACAAAATGGTGGCAGAGACACACAATTACTGCTTATTTTCGAAATATTAGCCAACTGTTCGCAACGGCAATAGCAACAGCAATAACCATAACAACGACGAAAGCATAAAGCGAAAAACAGACTACCCGGGTTTAACCAGAAAAAGTAAAGACAAATAGGAACCGAGGCTGTAGATTATTGTCTTTCCCAGTTGCCTCTGCTTTATAGCGGCTCTTTCCAATTGGACCTTAGTTCGAGTTACGAAAAAGTCTGCTGTAAATCAATGCGCAATTAGAATTAGAGAATGCACCCCCAAATTCGATTCCGTGGTGGTAGCTATAAATCGGCCGCTGCTCTGAGCTATACACACTTAAAACAATGTTTCATTTTGTTTAAATATTGGTTTATTGGTTTTTAATGAAAAACATATTTTTGGATACAAATTTCTGATGCTTGAAAAGTTTGTCATAGTTTCCAGAAAAAAAAAAAGTTTTTTATTTTGAAAAATTGAGCTTTGTCCCACTTCTTTTTTGAGTGTGGAATTTTCTTGTAATTTATTCAAGGGTGTATTTCCTTTTTAATATATTTGATTTGAGTAAGTGTTTTTATGTGTTCTTTTGAAATGAAAAGACCAAGATAAAATATTGTTAATATTATTGTTATTTTTGCTATTGAAGTTTAATTATTTTGTTACATTATTATAAAAAAAACATAGTTTTTTCAGAGAATAAGTTTTTGTTTTAATCTAAAGGAATCGCAGTCAGAAATAAATGAAATCTTTTCAAATTCCAACTAGAATCAAAGTACTTCAAAATTATATTTGGAATCTACATTAAATTTTTTGCCGTGTATGCTTTTAGACGTTAATAACCCCTGCCGAATATATAAAAAAAAAGAACGAGAACTTTTAGAAAAGCTCGTGTTGTTCCCGAATCGCAATCCCATATGAAAATTGTACACTTTTCGTACTGATAAATGTGAATAAGGGGTGTACCTCCCCACCGTCCGCTCTGATTAGAAGTCAAATTGTGACCGAATACTAAAAAGAGTTTGTTTGTTGAGTTGAGTATGTTTTCGCTTAGATAACGGCGACTATCTTATCGGAGGGCTTAATCTTTTGCAAGCTGGAACCAAAAAAGCGATTTCGTTCGAGCAGCTGCCCGGGTAACGAACCAACAGGCTCACTTCCCCAAAAAACACCGATCGAATGTGCATTTAGTATGCCTCAACCTTGGGCATTACTCACGGCTATAGCAGAGGCCCAGCCTGGTCGCCTTACGTCTGTATCTTGCCAACATGCGAGCTTGGCAAGACGATGACGAGGCCCTTGCTCAGCGAAAAACAGGAGAAATTATGCCCAAGCGCCCCGACTGCTGGATATCCTCTAGTCACAGCACCGACACAAAATGTGTTGTCTGCCTACACACAAAAAATTAGCATGGTCGTTTATAATTCATTACTGTAGCGTTTTTCAATATATTGTTCATCGTTATCCACTAAAGAAGTGTTTGGCCAGGGTTTTCAAACCACTCTATGCAAGCCAGAGCATATATACCGTAAACAGTCAATAATAATATACGATGACTTTCCGCGGCACTTTTCTTCAGCTTTTTTAAAACGCTACAAATTATTTCCAACATCTAGTACTTATTTATGGTAAAGAACCAGCAAAACAATACTCTTACATGATTTGTGTATTTCGAATAACTAACTAAAAACTTATGCTTTTGTTTGATCGGATATTTTTGTAGAATGTCTTTAAGTGGCGTTGAGTGATTTATTAGATAATTTTAAAATTAAAACAAGTAACCTACTTTATATAACTACTTCATAAGAGTAGATCAGTGTAGATCGGTCGTCTTTTATAAAAGTCAAATGCGTCTTTGCTTTTTGTGACTTCTTTCTTCACTTTGGCTTTGTTTTTTGTAGAGTGTTGCTCAAGTTACCGATGAAGCAACCCTTTTCAGGCCTTGTTAGACTCCGACATTGCGGTCGATCTGCGACGTATTCAAATACTCACAGTCGGCTGCCGATTGCCCCCGCACTGAGATGTCACGGAATTGCAACTGAATTTACAAGTTACTGACTCCACATGCATTTGACACGAGACGGCAATTGTTAGTGGGTTATTGGTTGACATACTTATTCGGACCAACAAACCGCACTTTTGGGAATTTGATACTAGGCAAGAGGTAAGTAGGTTGCTAGTGCCAAACAAATGATTTTCCAGTGGGGAAAACTCGTAAAAAAGTCTAATAAAAATAGACTAGCATTTAGCATGTGAGTTTTTATCAGTGACAGTAAGGTCTTACATTTAAAATTAAAAACAAGAAAGGAAGAAAATTTCGGCAAGCCGAAGTTCTGATACCCTTGCAGCTATTGCAAAAATAAAATATTCTTAAACACATAAAAATAATAATTTACTTGCGCATGCTTAAAAACATTGAAGCTATGATGATTTGCAGCTCAATTATTCGATAGTTCCTATGGCAACTATATGATATCGTTAAAATCGGAAGATTTTAATAAAATTAAAAGCGTAATTCTGAACTGTCAAATTATTAATAATTCAAAAAGAATTTTAAAACAAGAAAGGAAGCAAACTTCGGCAAGCCGAAGTTTATATACCCTTGCAATTATTGCACAAAAAAATATTTTTGAAAGCATTAAAATTATGATTGACTTGCGTGTATGTTTACATTGAAGCTATTTGATGCTTATTTGATAGTTCCTATGGCAGTTATATGATATCGTTTTCCGATTTTAATAAAATTAAAAGCGTAATTCTGAACTATCAAATATTTAATTAATCATAAAGAATTTCGAAAAAAATTACAAAATAAAAAAGTTAAATATTTTTTTTTTTAATATTTTTATTGTTCCCATAGGAGCTTTAAGTTATAGTCGTCCGATT